TGAACTTATATTTAAATGGAGAAAAGTAAAGAAATGGAACGACGAGAAAATAGAACTTGACAAAAGATTGATAGAAATCTTACGGCATTTTAGAGCAGAACATATCTCACATGAAAACTTAAAAATGTAAAGTAATAATAAAATTATTTAAACGAGCAACACGCAAGTTTCTTGCTCGTTCTTCTTGTGATGAGACAGCTTTCCGAATGAGCGGTAGATTAAAAAAATGTAATGACTATTCAAAAGTGCTTCAATGTAAGTTTATTTGAATAAATGATTTTCTATTTCTATTTCTATTTCAAAAAGTTTCAATAGAAATTTCCTTATGCTATATTATTATTTGAGCAGTGATTCGCAAGTTTCTGTAAAAACATTATTTGCCGTCTTAACAGTCAAAATTAATATGCAAAATGAAAGTTGTTCAAATCTGGCTACATTATTAGACGGACATGCGCATTTAGCAAAAAAAAAATCCACTCCGATAAAAAGTAATATTTAAGTAATAAAAATTTGTATAAATAATGATATTTCATTTCCTTATTCCTTACCTTGAAAGATTAAAGTACCATTAGCTTCGATTTTTAGATTTGAATCGATTAATTTTTTATTTATACCATTTTATTTGATTTTTAATCTAATAAATAGTTAATATGATAATGTTAGAAGTATATGGAATATGAAAATCTACATGAGATTTTTAAATAATAGAAAAAATATATTTCCTCGCAAAAATATATTATTCAATTACATAAAATCGATTAATATTAAATAAATAAAAATCGATTTATTTAATCGATTCTTTTCCATTAATTTCACATCCCTATACTCTCTTTGAACAAAAAATAGTTGATCACCTTATTTCAACATATGTAGATATTTAATTGAACGGTAGACAAAGCTGTATCGATCTCTAAACATGTTTTCTATAACTACAATTGAATTGAAGTAATAATACTACTTGATAACAATGGGAATATTGTTGATAGCGAATCAACAAACGAAAATATGGAATAACGATATAATGAGAGTACTTTGAATGGCTTATAACTGATTTATGTTAGACAGAAGCCACTCAAAACAATGTGGAGTGTGCAATCGTAATAATCATAAAGGTCCTTATTTGAAATAAATTTCACAGAATACGATAGAATTTCATTTATTTACAATAAACTAATTTATTGATTGAATAAACATAAACAAATACGTAAGTGGTTTTATTTCTAATAGTACATTAAGTGTCTGAATAAGAAGTTTCATTATCATATGTTACACATATGCAATATTATATTATCTGTGATATGTTCAAACTCAAATTCAAATTAAAAAAATCATTTATTCATGTAGGACATTTTAGCTGCTTACGAAATCTAGACACGCGGCAGCGTGTCAAGCCGAGTTTCAAGTAAACTGGCGAGCAGCACCGTGTGTATATTTACACGAACCATTTGGAGCCACTTTTGACCCCCTCATAACTCAAAAACTCTTTCGCACAAACCTGTCATATTTGGTTCATATATTGAGACTTGCGAGATAAATATGTGTTCCAAATTTCATAAACATATCTCAAACTGTTATTTAGATATTAATGTCCAAAAATCGTCATTTTTATCACTGATCAACTATAGATCAAAATTATAACCCACTTCCAGATGACCTAGGAAGTTCAAATTTGGTATGCAGATAGGTAATTAGGTGAATATAAAGGAAAAAATCTGAAACTGGTAAATTGTTATCATTTTACTACAATTTTTCACTTTAATTGATTCTATTTCAACTTATACTGGACGTATACTAAAATTCTATGAAAACGTCGATAGCCACCAATTGACATTGATCCCTGGCGAAAAATCTCATCTTGTACTGGACGGAAAGTAATATTGTATGAAAACGTCGATCATTACCAATTTACGTTGACCCCTTCACATCAGTGTCGATAACTAGCAAACTTCAAATATTGCATTGAGCGGTAAACACTAGTTGCTATAATTTAGATTCTGTCTAAAATATACTCGTACTTATAACTAGGAGTATAGTCGAATTTCGTATTTAGCGCACATCGATAGTGTAAAATCATTATTTTTATAAATAATTATTAAATAATAGGCATTTCGGTATAGGGCGCCGCGGCAGCGCCGTGTGGGAGCGGTGCGATAAAACTCAATGTTTTGTTTCTCGATATCTAACCTATAAGGTTGCGATTTATGCTACGAAATTTATAGCTTTCTTAAATTATATATTTGTGATTATATTATTATTACATTATTTTAGTAAATACGTATGGTATAGACAATAGTTTAAACCAAAAATTAATAACAATTTTAGTATAGTTATAAGTAGGAATGTATAGTTAACTCGAGAATGAGAACTCATTGGTAACAAATTGTTTTCTTGAGAATTCAATAGATAACAGTCAATTTGTTACATAATCGTCTTTACGAACTATAACAGTCAATACAAAGTTTCAGATATTAAATAATGTATATGTTGAAAGAGAACAATTCCGTATTTGCTTAACATATGCTATTACTATCCACAAATCACAAGGCCTTAGTTTTGGCAGTCCTCTTCTCAACATAGCCTCCTCTATATTTAATAAAGGGCAGGTTTACGTTGGACTCTCCAGAGTTAAAACCTTAGATGGAGTACGTCTTAACAATTTAGATCCAAGTCACGAGAGCTCTATTGTAGAGTACAACCATCTGTGGACGTTATACCGCCCCGATTTGCCCAAAAATTCCTGATACTGAATTGGCATTGCACTTGAACATTTAAAAGTTACAAGAAAATATAGAAAATAACACAAAAAAAAGACAATTATACCCCGTAAATATACGAAAATACAGTAATTTATCAAAAATAATTTGGTATTAATTTAGTTATAAATAAGTACCTCGTATAATTTATGTACAAAAAGTAATGATATCCCATCAAAAACATAAATGTGAAATGATAGCCGAGTTTAATATTATGATATATACCTTGATTGTTGACTTCTACGACAAAAGAGATGAGATCTAAATGGGTGCCAAGTTCAATGGTCTGTCCTGAAATGTATTTATAACAATATAAAATATCATTTCTTCTTATAATTTAGGATAATATACTGTAGCCTAAGGTCTAACTTGGCTAGTTTTCATATACAAAATTTACTGTAGCCTTCGCAAGTTCTAAACATGTTACTTGTCGGTTCCTATTTTAATATTAATAGTAACTAGCAATCGAAAGTAATAATTGGTATATGAGAACTGGCCAAGTTAGACCTTAGGCTACAGTATATTATCCTAAATTATAAGAAGAAATGATATTTTATATTGTTATAAATACATTTCAGGACAGACCATTGAACTTGGCACCCATTTAGATCTCATCTCTTTTGTCGTAGAAGTCAACAATCAAGGTATATATCATAATATTAAACTCGGCTATCATTTCACATTTATGTTTTTGATGGGATTCATTTTACATTATAATTTTAAATTTTTGTCGCTTATGAGCGTCAAATTTATTTTACACTAGCTGTCCCGGCAAACGTTGTTTTGCCTTAAAATAAAAAAAAAAATTTAGGGGTGAACTACACCTAACATTTAGGGGGATGAAAAATAGATGTTGGCCGATTCTCAGACCTACTCAATACGCTCACAAAATTTCATGAGAATCGGTCAAGCCGTTTCGAAGGAGTATGGGAACGAAAACTGTGACACGAGAATTTTATATACAAGATTACAATGTTAATTCTCTCTCTACCGTCCAGTTCGGTATATAGATCCAATCGAGAAGAAATGGCAAGAAACTCAATTTAATTTAGGGGCGGATTTACATATGGGCTTTTTGGGCTATAGCCCAGGGCCCCGTGAATACAAAGGGCCCCCAGCCCCAACTGAATATAATAGCAATATTTAAATTTAGAAAAATGAAATATTAATAACCTATCATAAGGTTCACAACCCTGAGATGTCAACCCATGGATGTCTTTCTAACAGAATATTTATTCAAATAAACTTAATATTAGTACTTCTGAAAAGTCACATTTTTGTTATTCTACCGCTCATTCGGAATGCAGACTCATCACAAGAAGAATGAACAAGAAACTTGTGTGTTGCTCTTTTAAATAAATATTGTTTTAGTTTGATTTACATTAACAAGGATTAGGCGCATAGGCATTAGGCCTAGTCCTAGTTAATGTAAATCATCATCATCAATTAAGATAGAAACCGCTACGCACTTAATCTCTGTTCAACCAGTGTCAGCGCTATGAATTTTAAGTTACATATTTTCTACAAAAACATTATTAACATTTATAAATTCTTATACTCAATTTTATAATAAGCTTTTTTACAAAGAAAATATTTTATAAGACATTTGTATCATTTTTCTGGCAAATTAAGTACAGACTCTGGCAGTTTGTTGTAAAACGAATAACTAACTTTCGTCAAACGGCACTTAACATACCGTAAATGGAAATAATATAATTTGGTAGGCCCTAAGTTTTAGCCCAGGGCAGTGGCGTAGCTACCTAGGGGCTAGGCGGGTAGTGGCCCAGGGACATCAAGCTCAGGGGGTCCTCGAACCCTTACCAGAAAATCTCGATCGAACTGAATTTTTCAAAATTTCTCCCATTTTCAAAATAAATATGACAGGTTGAAACCCGACCTCAATCATGGCAACTCAGTTGAGAAAAATTAGAAAGTTATACCTCGGAATTTCCCTAAATTCTTTCTGTGGGTTATCGGATAGCGATATGTGCGTCTTAATAAATCTGTAATGTAGGGGCATTTTTTACTTTGCCCCAGGGCCCAAATTCACCTCTGATTTAATTACTTTTTTTTTAAAATCCACTTTATTTACAATGTATATTTGTATAGGTGTCTATGTCTAACATTAAATGAAAATCCCGTGCATGAACAACTATTGCCATGCACACTCGTCATTCAAGTAATCGTTTAGTGAGTTAGGATTTAAATTTATAACGCAAGATTGGGAATTATAAAAATAAACCAATGTAAATATTAACCGTCTTTATTGTACAACAATACATAAACATTCGTATACGAAATTCAACTATATACACATATGTTATCTTTTACAACGACATATCCTTACTGCGGCCCTCTTGAAGCCTGCCACGTAATGTATCACTTGTTCCTGCGAACAAAATATTACATTAACATGTCTTGAGTTTTTGTATGAGTACATACACGTGAAATTACATGATTGATGATCTGTGGGATAGTGGAATATAAGGAATTTTTTCTATGTATAAGCGTTTTGAAAAAGCAGCTATAAGAAAAACTGGCTGTTTAAGGAACTTTAAACTCGATGTTTTCGTTCCTATCAGATTTCCTTAAATTCATATTTTTAAAATTTCGCCTTTTATACACATTATTTATTTATTTAATTCAGGCTACATGGCCCATATTATAAATACCTTATAGACTAACATACATAAGATATAATAATAAAATATGTAAATAAAATTGTCTCTTTGGTCACGGCACTGACGACGGCAATCTGCCACGGTAGCGCCGATACACCACTCCCTTCGGCCAGTAGTCCTCCTTCATGAAGGTGGGCAGCATGTTGGTGGGGACAGGAGCCACGAACGCTTTGAAGCTCGCGTTTTGACTCGATTCCAGCTGCGTTACCCTCAATGTCAGGTTACTGTCGTCAACAATGTCCTGTTCCTTGGTAGCGTAGTGTAGGCGGGATAGGTACATTGACGTGGTCGGTGTTGCGGCACGTAATAAGAAGTTGGGCCCTGTCAGTGCTGTGCCACAATGGTTTAGAATGACCCTCTTTGCGCCTCTTCTTTCGTACCGTGACAAAACCATCATCGTCACGGTCAGCAGACTTTGTACACATAGGGGTAACTTTCAGAGTCACTTTAGACCTCATTCCGTACATATATACATTATTATTATTATTATATACATTATTAATAGTAGAACAGCTATTAATTGTTAAACAGCTCTGAGTTTAACTATAATAATAATTTCCTTAAATATCCCGCGATTCTGGGTATTTTGGATTTGTAGAATAGAATAGAATAGAATAGAAAATCATTTATTCAAATAAACTTAATTTAAGCACTTTTGAATAGTCATAACAATTTGTTTTTTATCTACCATAGATGATAAACAAATAAAATTGTAGTGTCCATTTGTAATTAACATTTTTTAACTAAATGCATATGAAAGTCTATACGGTACATACGTACAATAAAAGACTAATTAAAAAAAAACCTGACTGTCTGTCTATTTGTTCTCGTTCATCTCTGAAATGGATGGACCAATTATGACGGAACTTTCATTCGCAGATAGCTAAATAAAAGTAGCCTAAATTACGCCGTTTCATATCATACGGAGTAATATAGGCCACTATGATTTCATTTTAGAAATTTACTGTTAAAATTGCAATCTATATACCTTAATATGTAATACTTCTTTTTTGAGAAAGATTGTACCTCAAGGGTGTATTTTAGGTCCCAATTTATTTGTAGTGTATATTAATGATTTCTTTTATAATATAGGATAAACGTGTAATATATAGTAACCTGCATAAGATTGAAGCACATGGCAGCTAGTGCCATGCCCAGCATCAGATACATTGAGCACACGATGAAGGAAGTCTCAATACGGGGCGTGTAGACTCTCTCTCCAGGCACGAAATCACCAAACCCAATACTGAAAGAAATGAAGGTGATATTAGTCTACTATCATGACATTATATACTTATGCTGTCATCACAAACTCAGTCTTCTACAGCTGCTGGCAATTTTTTATTTTTGGTGTACTATAGTTGCCAGGAATCCATATTTTTTTATTTAAAATCACATAAATTATTAGATATTACGTTATCATGTGACAACTGAGATTGAACTTATACATTGCCGTTCCAGAAAACTAAGGTATCGTAATACATATTCTGTAATTTCACTGTTTAATCTGCAACCTACAGTATAAATAAAGCGTACAAAACAAGCTGCTTAGCGGCTGAAATAGGTGATACTTAAGTGCTCAGTAAGCATTTTTAAGGTGTACCTCTAATAAAACTGCTTTTCATTGAAAATATCTTCTTCCGAACTATCAAGCGAAATGCAGTCATCAACTACTATCCCTACAGTCCCCTTACGTTCACCAATATCAACAGTTGCCCACCCATTTGGCAATACCATCTATGATTTATATCTTTCAGAAATGAGTCAGTTCTTTCTCTTCTTATCATCATTCACTTAAACCATGTTCCCAGTTTATCTGGGGTCGGGTCTACATACATTTGCGCCAGAGAACTCTGTTTTGTGCTTCATCATGTGCAGGAGGAAAGATTTGGCTTTGTGTTTTACGGCCGGTTGCCAACTAACTCCAAGTTTGTACTTCAACCAGGAGAGTTCTGGGCGCCGCCGTTGACTCTTATTGAGGTCTTCCGCTATCCTTTCTGCGCGGCCCAACCTAATCGTGCAGCACTGCGGCCTCTGCTTTGGTTACCTCAAAGAAGCCCTATGGTAGGGGTTTAATTATGAAGTAACCTTCTCCGGCCTGTTGATCTACGAGGGCTTTCATTTCAACCTTATCCTCCATCAAGGTGATCATTTGCAGGACTATCTGATGAGCGTTTCCCTATCCGCCACCCGGGGACGCGTTCTCTATGGTTGAGGATCTCTCGAGAGCTCCTTCTCTTCTTATAATATTTACAATTTCTGATGTAAGTTTTAAATTTTAATAAACATATATTTTTGGTAACTGATTATCAAACTCACCTACTGAGAGATATGAAACAGAAGTATGCACCATCCAGTTGATCCCACTGTTCCCACATCCCGAATATCATTGAGCCGAACATTATGTAACTGAAATGAAGGTGTAATAGAAATGGAAATAGAAACAATCTTTATTAAAACAAACTTAACATAAGAACTTTTGAATAGTCACATTTTTTTTATTCTGCCGCTCATTCGGAATGCAGTCTCGTCACAAGAAGAATGATCTAGAAACTTGTGTGTTGCTCTTTTAAATAAATATTGTTTTAATTAGATTTACATTAACAAGGATTAGGCATGCGATATAATATAAGTCATTACAATTACACATAGAAAACATATCGATACCAATTACACATAGAAAACACCCAGACCGACACAAACAATCATACTCATGAATACAAATGTTTGTGCCTGCCGAGGAATCGAACCGCGACAATCGGAAGTAAGGCGGTGTGCTAAACCGCTAGACCACTGATGCTGTCAATGAGTGCTTTGGCTTTATCAGTTGGCTTTATCTAAATTTATTTTTTGTCTCAGGACAATGCACGCAGCGCCATCTAGTCCTATATTAGAAGCTTAGCTTGCTAATGGGTACTGTGTATAAAGTTCTTTTTGTTATTGATTAGAATAATAGAATAGAATAGAATAGAAAATCATTTATTCAAATAAACTTACATTGAAGTACTTTTGAATAGTCATTACATTTTTTTAATCTACCGCTCATTCGGAAAGCTGTCTCATCACAAGAAGAACAAGCAAGAAACTTGCGTGTTGCTGTTTTAAATAATTTTATTATTACTTTACATTTTTAAGTGTATTCACACAATACAAACCACCAATTAGCACTAATTCAATTAAATACTCAAATAGAAAAAAATATTGAATATATAACCAACTGGTTAAACAATTAATAAGAGGAAATCAGTCATAGATTAGTGCAGACCAGTCCCTACAAGCAGCACCCGTTCACGAGTATGACGGATGAGCCAGCCACTACGCTCGACCATATTTTAGGGAGCCCAATAACCCGGCCCACCACGCCGCCACAAGTCTGCACATTTCAGTGAGCATGACTACTCAAAACACTAGACCACGTCATAGCTACTTCCAATTGATGTGTTTATGCATAATTAAAAATACTAGCATTCTGCACTCTTCTATATAAACTATAAGTGTGCGAAATTTCATACTCCTTGGTCGGAGCAATTATCGTAAAAAGGGGTTGTTTAAACTTGGTCGAGGATTTGAGGTATGGTCGATAAGATAGATTTAAAATACTGATATACAGCTCACGCTATTTGGGAGTCAGGACTGCATCACACACACCGATGAAAGTCTAAATAAATAAATAAATAACAATAAAAAAATATATTTATGAAATAAAAATCCAAGTTTACGTTAATGTCTGTTAATTTGTTTTTTTTTTCAATTTTGTTCTTTTTTTCAAATTTCTTTTTTATTATGTTTTGGGGACATAGCAACGCATATATTTGTAGGCTGCCAGTTACAATTTAGTTTTTATATAGTATTCTACAGGGGTACAAAGTTTTTGCTTCACCTATTAATATAACGATTAGTTGTATTTATATACTGAACTAGCTGTACACGCGACTTCGTCCGCGTGGAATTTAACTTTATTTTTCTAAAATATAAGTAGCCTAAGTTACTCGTTATTACATTAGTTACCTGGCAAAAAAAGTCCCGTCAAAATCGGTCCAACCAAATTAGCCAGAACAAGCAGACAGACAGACAAAAATTATAAAAAATGTTATTTTGATATATTCATATGCATGTAGTAAAAAACAGTTATTTCAATATTACATACAGACACTCCAATTTTATTTATATGTATAGATGTCTAAACACATACCCAACTAGTATAAACACGCAGACACTTAGTGGAACGGTAATGGATTGAGCATCGAAGGTCAGGTAGCTGAACTCGCTGGTTTCTGGAGTACCCCGGGTCCAGGGTTCTGACCAGCCCCGCAGTCTTGGGTCTAAACGATGCGGGTACCGGGGCGGACCCCACGGTTGTGGCATGGAAACACTGCGTCCGTACTCTGGTCTTCTGCAAATAGAGTTTAAAATAAAAAAAATCAAAATTAAAAAAATAAATATTGTCTCTTTATACTATACTAGCTACTCGCCCCGGCTTCATACGGCAGTACATGTATTATACATATAAAACTCCCTTTTGAATCACTCTATCCATTAAAAAACCGCTTTAAAATCCGTTGCGTAGTTTTAAAGATTTAAGCATACATAGGGACCGATAGACAGCGACAGCGACTTTGTTTTATACTATACTAACTACTCGCCCCGGCTTCATACGGCAGTACATGTATTATACATATAAAACTCCCTTTTGAATCACTCTATCCATTAAAAAACCGCTTCAAAATCCGTTGCGTAGTTTTAAAGATTTAAGCATACATAGGGACGGATAGACAGCGATAGGGACTTTGTTTTATACTATACTAGCTACTCGCCCCGGCTTCGCACGGGTACACATGTATTATATATATAAACCTTCCTCTAGAATCACTCTATCTAAAAACCGCTTCAAAATCCGTTGCGTAGTTTTAAAGATTTAAGCATACATAGGGACGGACAGACAGCGACTTTATTTTATGATGATGATGTTCATTAAGTTACAGTTTTAGGATTAATATGGAAAGAAAATTAGTAATAGTCCATACCTGAGGACATAATTGTGGATCCGGTGAGAGGGCCCATATTCTGGGGTCACATCCGACTCTGAATACCTCCACCTCCAATCCTCGGGACGCTCTATACTTTCAGCCTCGCTGGTTTCTACCTGAAACAAATATGGACTGAAAATTAATATTACTGTTTATTTAGGACTCATCCATTAAGCCTCAGGTAGAGTTGCCAAACGTCCTATTTTCCCAGGACAAGTCCTAGTTATCAAAGTTCAGGATTTCCCAGGACAGGAAGTCCTGAATACTCATTTTCAAATATTGGTACCAAAGAGCAATTTGACGCTTTACCAAAGGAATGTATCATTTATGGCACAAAAAATTTTTAATAAATTACCACCGGACTTGAGAAAAATGCCCTTAAACAAATTAAAAAATCGATTATATTACTGGTTGCTGGACAAGTGTTTTTATGACATCAAAGAATATTTATGTGATGATTGTTGACTTTTTTTTTTTTTTATTACTATATAATTAGAATGGTACATAAGACATTAATTTTAAATTATAATATTATAGATTATTCCATTTTAATATACCCAAAATTTGCATGCCCGTAAATTGGGGCAATTAAACAGTTGCCAATAATATTATTACCTGGACATATTATAATATCTAACTGTATAATACGCAAATAAATATATTTCATTTCATTTCAACAGTATAATTTTATCAAAAGCCTCATGAACAAGCTCAGAGTCACTCAGAGAGCAATGGAGAGAGCTATGCTCGGAGTTACTCTGCGTGATCGAATCAGAAATGAGGAGATCCGCAGAAGAACCAGAGTGACCGACATAGCCCGAAGAATTGCGACTCTGAAGTGGCAATGGGCAGGGCATATAGCTCGTAGGACAGATGGCCGTTGGGGCAGTAAAGTCCTCGAGTGGCGACCACGGACCGGAAGACGCAGCGTGGTAGGCCTCCAGCAAGGTGGACCGACGATCTGGTCAAGATCGCTGGAAGGCATTGGATGCGAGCAGCGCAGGACCGATCGTCGTGGAGATCTTTGGGGGACGCCTATGTCCAGCAGTGGACGTCTTCCGGGCTGCGATGATGGTGATGATGAATTTTATCAAATACTTTTTATTAAAAACCTAATTATATTAATTACTTGAATTTTACTACATATTAATATAACTATGGCAACACTATTGCTGCGTTCTGTTGTTAAACTGGATAGTCCTGGTTAGTGGGATTATCAATCCTGATTTTTTAAATTTGGGCCTGGCAACCCTAGCCTTAGGTAACTTTATTCATGCCAGATATAGATCCTGAATATGTTTTTTGCTAGTTAAACATCTCAATATTACGCAGTATTGACCTTTGATTATGTTATAACATTTATAAGTAGATTTTTTATTTAATTGGAATGGATGGCTTACGGCCCACCTGATGGTAAAACATGATGTCACAAAATATATTGAACTCATTCAAACGTTGCTATTGAGGTGTACTAAAGTTTATGTTAGAAATGAATAAAATATTAATTATAAAAAAAATATATTCATAAGAGGATGTGCTCGGTGGTCTAGCGGTCTAGCACACCGCTTTACGTCCGATGGACGCGGGTTCGATTCCTCGCACGGCACAAACATTTGTATTCATGAGTATCATTGTTTGTATCGGTCTGGGTGTTTTTATGTATAGGTAATATGTATGTATTTACGAAAAAAAAAATTATCTATGTACTTGTATCAGTTACCTAGTACCCGTAACACAAGCTTTAGATAGCTTAACTTGGGACTAGATGGCGCTGTGTGAAATGATTATTATTATTTTATTATTGTTATAAGAGGCTAAAATATCCTACATGAATAAATTATTTTTGAATTTGATTTGAATTTCAGCTATTATTCGGTATTGTTGTATTGTGACCTATAGAGATCTATTGTGCTTGCCCTTTTTTTTCAGAGTTCACGGCCTAGACCCGCCAGGGACAAGAACTAGGAGCGATGGTTGTTATCTCCTCAGGATACAGTGTATACTTTCCAAAGGTGTTATTTCTTACTACAACCGCATGAGATGCTTTTTTTCTGACTACTCTAATGCTGTTGGCCGCAGCTGGCCTTTACAGTTTCACCGGGCGATAGGGACGAGTGCAGATGGCACTCCAAACCAAAGGAAGGACTTATGGAGCGGCTGAAGGCCAACTCCCGCCTGACGGATACGACTTTAGTCTGAGTGCACCGCTAGGGGTTCGAACCTCGGCTCAGGCCGTCGTAATTTCGATCCTTGTTTGAATTGGGCGGGGGATCTGAGATGTGTAATGGCGTTTGCCATCCACTTGTAAAATCTACAAATCTTTAAGCAAATGCCTAACTTTACCATGTGTTTATTTAATTTGCAGTGACCAAGGTTTTAGTCTTGAATAATAATAAATAATCCTTAGTTGAGTTAGCATATGACAAAATCTTGTCTTCTTCTTTATTACGATCTCTATTATTATTGATAATTTTGTTATGGCTACAATAATACAATGGGCAGGGCACATAGCTTGTAGGACAGATGGCCGTTGGGGCAAAGTCCTCGAGTGGCGACCGCGGATCGGAAGACGCAGCGTGGGAAGGCCTCCAAGGTGGACCGACGATCTGGTCAAGATCGCTGGAAGGCATTGTCTGCGAGCAGCGCAGGACCGATCGTCGTGAAGATCTTTGGGGGAGGCCTTTGTTCAGCAGTGGACGTCTTCCTGGCTGAGATGGTGATAGTGACTCAAAATAAAGAAGCGATTTTATTTCAGCGTTAAAGTACAAACCTGAGGACGGAATCTGGCTACTCTTCGTCTGGTGAACCCTGGACATCCACGGCATAGACATACCAGCGCGTACAAGCACTTGAACCAGCGTGCCAGCAGTTCACCTGTAAATATAATATAACTAGCTGTGTCACGCGGTTTCTCTCAATTCCCAACCCCTCCGCCATCGTCCGCCTCATTTTTGTTAAACTACAAAGTGGCAAACAAGCATACGGCCCATCGGACGGTAAATGGTGAAGGAGTAACAAACTCACAAACTTTCGCATTTATAATATTAATATGATTCACGTTTTGCGGGACATAATTTATAAAATAAATGGTGGTAGTTTTAATTTATTAATAAATTAATGTTTCTGTACCTCAATTATGATTTGCATCTGTAATTCAACATTGAAAATATCTTTATTCATGTAGGTCTATTACAGACTCTTATATGTCAAATCTACCGTCAGTTCGGAGAGCTTACGAGCTAAGAATTGTAAAGAAACTTAGCTCTTCTTCTTTTAAAATGAACCAGTACAATTTTTACAAAACTACAGATTATTTTTTTGAACTAAAATTAGGGGGAATTACATCAATTATAGATCTATCTAATGCCTCGATGTATAAGGTATAGAATTTCACTAATTACAGACACATAGCATGACTAAGGTTTAAATAATTTGTTACATGTCCTACGATTTATATATTGATAAATAAAAATAATAAGAATTTATAATACCAATATAGCTGTATAGGATGTTCCTTAGTGTGCATAAATCCATATAAAAAGTAAAAAATATTTTGGCGCAAAAATATAAAAACTAAATTAAAAAAAAACATAATATTATAGAGATTGAAGGGAACTTTATAATAACAGTTCTGAAGTGATGTAATGATTGGAAGTACTTGTATATTTAAAGCTACAAAATAAAGATATAGTATGTTTAGTGATTACACTTTTCATTGTAATTATAGAAGATTCTCTAATAAACAACTTCTACCTATCTAATGCCCCAGTACCTTATATAGTATACTTACCAACGTTACTGAGGTATAATAAAAATAAAGGCATTCCCAGCAGAGTATAGAGTATAGTGGTCACCTTCCCCCAGTTCGTTCTTGGTGATAAATGACCATAACCTGAAAAAAAAACATTTATTTATTTATTCATCTTCAATCATGCAAATATTAAAAAGTTGATTATACATTGAACCCGCAATAGGCGAAACTGTATCGCGGGAGTCCACAAAAGTATTGTTAGATGATTCTTAACTATTACAGATCAGCGAGTAGAGTAGATTTGACATATATGAATCAAAATACCTAATTCATCATCATCTGCTTCTTCCTTATCCCATTTATTTGTGGTCGTCGTAATATGTTTTTCTCTTCCATTCATCCCTGTTCGCAGTCATCCCGTTATTTACTCCCTTTCTTACCATATCATCATTCACACAGTCCATCCATCTCTTTTTCGGTCTTCCTCTGGGTAGAGGAAGACCGAAAAAGAGATGGATGGACTGTGTGAAAGATGATATGGTGATGAATGTGGTTGGTTATAAGGGTCAAAGATCATGTCCTAAGGACGGTGTTACATATGTAACACCGTCCTTAGGATATGATCTTCATTCCTACGCATTACATGTCCATACCACGATAGACGATTACTCTTTAACCTCTCCGACATCGGTGCCACTTTCATACTTCCTCTGATGTATTCATTCTTTATCTTGTCTATCCTCGTCACACCACACATCCATCTCAACATTCGCATTTCAGTTGCATGCAGTCGTCTCTCATCCGTCGCCTTTATTGGCCAGCACTCTGATCCATACATAATATACCTAATTGTAATTTAGAATTAAAAAACTTAACTGAACTTTCTTTGCTTTTAAAAAACCCATCAGATAATTTAGCAGCAAAATAATTCGCTGAAAATAACGATAGCATAATAACACCTAAATGTAATGTACACATAAGCAATTTTGCTAATTAATCACCTCCATCCTAATCGTTAACCAAAACACCTGCTTAAAATGCATAACCCAACGTTCAAAGTCTGTTTAACGTTGGCAAAATGGCCCAGATTTCGGCCATTTGCCGTTTCCAAACATTAGAGAAGATTGGCTTCAAATTGGTTGTAAACCTCCATAACAGGGAACCGCTATGGATCCTAAAATGGCCGCTTTAGTGATTCGTAATAAGATAAAACGGTTCATATTTTGCAATTCATGTAAGTATATAGTTTCTATGACCTTAAACGAATAATAATCTCAGGACAATTCACACAGCGCCATCTAGATCAGAGTTAAGCTAGTTAAAACTTGTGTTATGGGTACTAGACAACTGATACAAATAGAAATAGAAACAATTAAACTTAATATAAGATCTTTTGAATAGTTAAGTTTTTTCTCTCAAATCCTTCGATAGAAATACATAACCCGTCAGGGACAAGAATTGAAGGATATTCTTAGGAGCGATTTTTTATCTCCTCAGAAAAGAGTGTAAGCTTTACAAAGGAGATATTTCGTTTATGCATGAGTGGGCTAACCACATAGGATGTGTAACGGCGTTTCCTCTTCAGTTTGGCAAAATCTGCAGATTTTTGTCGTGCATAGGCCTAGGTTTGCCATATGTTTGATCGATTTGCAGTATCCTGTGAGGGCCCTAGTCATCATACAAGCAATAAAGTGTTACAAACAAATAAACGATAAGATTGTAGATACCTATGGTGGTGATGACGGTGAGGGAGTACAGGAAGGCGGAGGAGAAACTCCACTGTCTGGATGACCTGCCACCGTCCCAGCCGCGACGGACAGCCACCACCACCTTCCTCTGATAGTGGTGCAGCTCGAAGCTAATTCTGGAATTAGAAAAAAACAGCATTTATTTCACCCGTGGATGATCACCCATGGATCCAGGGGCGGATCGTGAATTTCTGGGGCCCTGGGCTAAATATACTTAGGGGCCTTCCTAATTATATTGTTCAACTAAAAAATTACACCGACCAAAAACAATCGACCAGAAATTACCCGTTCCTCTCGATAGACGCGCACTTGCATGGGTTGATTGATCTCAGGGTTGCCAACCTTGTGGTTTATTAATATTTTAGATATTTTTTTGTAGTCTAAGTATCGGATATAATTTGACGACCTCGGTGGTCTAGCGGTTTAGCACACCGCTTTACGACCGTTGGTCGCAGGTTCGATTCCTCGCACGGGACAAACATTTGTATTCATGAGTATGATTGTTTGTATCGGTCTGGGTGTTTTCTATGTATAATATGTATTTATTTACGAAAAAATAATCTATGTATTTGTATCAGTACCCATAACACAAGCTTTAGCTTAACTTGGGTCTAGATGGCGTTGTGTGAATTGTCCGGAGATTGAAAAAAAAAAAATTTGAATACAATTTCACATTTCCTATCTAATCCAACCTTTTGTAGTCATAGTCATGAAGAAAGTAAAAAACGACCAATTGAATGTAAATTTCGGGGGTAGTAGGTTGGACTCCATTTTCCGCAATTGGCCTCTCATTCGGGCCATTGTGCGTGTAATTTCGGGGGGTAATGTACCATGTAAGGTTGCCTTCAAATTCTTGGTGAATTCGTCACGATGGCCTAACTGACCTGACCTCATGCTCATCTTATCATCCTCCACTGGTGCCGCCAGCGTAAAGAGCAGGCGGGTGCATCATACCATTGTCATCCACTCAAGAATATATTTTTCGAAGTCGGTAAAAAGGTCAATAACCTCACTTGTCTTTTAATGCGGTTTCATTGAAGAGGTTGAGCGCCAGGGTGACGTTCTGCCAGAGGTACTGGGCTGTGTTGTTCCTTTCTCGCGCCATGTGATTCACTCGTTCCATCTCGCTCGCACCCTCTATGGCTTGAAACATGAAAGCACCTGGAAACAGATATATCTGTATGTTTTCACAACTCATATCAGTACTATACTGTATGTTTAGATATTGTATGTTCAAGCTAGATTTTTGCAAAATCAAAATGTACAAAATCATGTACAAATACAAACATACAGATGCATATGGTAGATTTAACACCTTGTGGCATCTTCTCCCAAGTTCATTTTGATGCATGTACTAGCTGTACCCGCGACTTCGTCTTAGTAAAAAAAGGAAAGTAGCCTAAGTTAATTTTTATTACATCAGCGACTTGCCAAAAAAAGTCCCGTCAAAATCGGTCCAGCCATTACAGAGATTAGCCGGAACAAACAGACAGATAGATAAAAATTGTAAAAAATGTTATTTTGGTGTATGTACCGAATTTATATTCATATGCATGTAGTAAAAAACGGTTATTTCAATATTACAAACATACACTACAATTTTATTTATATGTATAGATGACATTTTAGCCGTTTATGAGCGTCAAGATTTTTGTAATATTTTTTTCCTATTGTCCAGTTCTGTGTACTTGTATTCTTGCATCATCTTCGCCATCGTCAGTCTCGCGGAGCCTATCACCATATCAATATATGTGTAATCCTTGTTATAGTATTTATGTAGTATAAGTAGTTTAATCACATAATTCATCACATTATTTACAGTTCATTCATACTTTATATATTTTGATAAAGAGCTCGAAGTTTAATAATTATGTAATTTTTTTATTAATAAGTATTGTATAATTAAGTAGCAAACAGAATATCAGCGCTCCAGAGTTATCTGTAGCATTATGCTGAGTTGGCTACCTTTTCACTTTCGCGGCACATAAAGCCACCTACATTTCTTTTATTAATTCGTGTTTTTCTGTATCTCATGTAATTTATGTGTCTGTAATTGTGAATAAAGAATTTATCTGTCTATCCATATATTCAACTGAGAAGAACTGGTAAGAAACTCAACTGATTTTTTTTTATACATTTTAGATGAACTGTATCGGCGACTCGCGACACAAATATAGTTTGTTTTGGTTTTAATATTTAAAGAGCTCGTTTTGTTTATTGATGAATGCGTAGGTTGTTTCACTCGTTAGTTGGCTGTGAATAATAATGTCCATATTGTGCAGGGAAGGAGGCGGGAAAAAGTAGTGTGGCGACTTACAAACTTTTTTTTTTATTTTTACGTTTTTAGAAGATGCGCAAACGTGTACACATAGTAGATCCTGAGACTTGACAATCTTTTAGAGGTACATGAGCACTTGGTTCTCCTGATTTCTAAGTCAAAGTTAATTTTTATTCCACTTCAGCATGTAATTTTTTTTGTCTCTATTCTACCGCTAGCCTTAAGCAGCGGTAAACTGAAGTACAGACTACCCTTGCGATTTCTCTGGTGTTTCGGGTGCTTATGGGTGAGTGTCATCATTTACCATCAGGTGAGCTGCAATCTCGTTTGCCCTCTGTTTTTTATACTATGATATATAACTTTACGAGTATCCGTCATACTCGTGAACGGGTGCTGCTTGTCCCCTAGCAGTCCTCTGCTCTGTTCAGGTTACGAACACTGATTAGACTTTCTGCTTTTGCAGTAACATATTCTGGTGGTCACTATTCTCCCAAATTTGAATTTAAAAATGAATCTGTTTTATTGTAACATTTATTTGAAAAGACTACGAGATGAGTTTCATGTCAGTTCTTCTCATCTCGAAATCATTCCGAACTGACGGTAGATTTGACATACCATAAGAGTCTGTGAGTTTCTTGTCAGTTCTTCTCATCTCGAAATCATTCCGAACTGACGGTAGATTTGACATACCATAAGAGTCTGTGAGTTTCTTGTCAGTTCTTCTCATCTCGAAATCATTCCGAACTGACGGTAGATTTGACATACCATAAGAGTCTTTAATAGACCTACATGAATATTTAGAATTAGAATTAGAATTTTATTTTTAAAACTCCCACCAACAACCCTTAAAACGTAAGCCACAAAATAAAGCCGTAAATATTTTATTTGTGATTTGTAACTCGCAATACAACCTCACCTTTATAAACTCGTAACATAACGGACCTAATTAAAACTGTACACATTTATAAAGCAAATGAGGGTAGACAGATTCCTTTTTAAATTAAAACACCGACTGAACATAAATTACTCGCATTTTTACGATGTCGCCGGGAGAAAATAGAAACTCATATTTAGATATTCAGCTTTGATGTCGTTATGAATAAAAGGTTGGTAATTATTCATCTATGACTGTAAGTTATTATAATCTATTTAAATAATATTTTTTTTTTATTTAAATAACATTAATGCACGTCATACACAGGTAAAAAGTACATGTGGCGGACTTAACACCTAATGGCATTTTCTACCAGTCAACCATGAGTTGTGCAGAGATAAGTTGTTGGCGGTGCAAACAATAATATATTATTTTATAGAATATACATGAATAAATATATATATTATATATACACATGTAACTACATAAATATTCCTACAAATATACACAAAAATACATATACATATACAAAAATATACCATACACACATAAATATATGACCAATAATCTGACAATGAAATAGTGATTACAGCCGACAGTGTAAGCATATTACAATAGATATTATATTTATTTAGGATGATTAATGATGTAAGTCATATCAAATTGTCCTATGCCAATTAAAAATCTTCGCCAATAGTAAAATTATATAAATATTTGTATGTTAGTTTCACCTTTTAGATCTCAAATTGGATTTGTATTTTTGTATACTTGTTATATTGCTTTTTTTAATTTGACTCGGTCATTATTTATACGTATAATTAGTAAAAATCACGGGATCTTACCACGTTTTATATTTATTTGCTGAGTTCCCGATATTTCGGCAGTGTTTCAACCATCATGATCACGGGTAAACTGATCCAGATTATTATATTGCCTTATATTTTTTATTGCCCATTTATAGTATGGGTTCCAGGAAGTCTTTACGAGAGTGCTTTAAGGATTCAAATATCCTCACCGTTGCTTCTCAATACATTTATGAAATAATCAAGTATGCCAGGAAGAATATAGACAATTTCAAAAGAGTTAGTGATTACACTAATAAAAGCTTCCGTAACAATAACAAACTGATTTTACCTAAATGTAGTTTAATTACAGTTAGTAATTCGTTTTATGGCAATTGCATAAGGTTTTACAACAAAATACCAGAGTCTGTTATAAATCTGCCTGAAAAAAGATTTAAATGTCAAATAAAACACTTCCTTTGCAAAAAAGCTTACTATAAAATTGAAGAATTCGTTAACGACAATAATGTTTTATATAGAAAAATTTAAAATCCATAGCACTGGCAATATTATCTGATTACAATAATAATGAATGCGTAGCGATTTTTATGTTGATTATCGCATGCCTCTTACATGTTATACTGTAATTATTTATATTAAAAAAATATCTATTCAAAAGAGCAACACACAAGTTTCTTGCTCATTCTTCTTGTGATGAATCTGCATTCCGAATGAGTATGTAGAATCAAAATATGACTATTCAAAAGTACTTGTAATGAGTTTATTTGAATGAAGATTATTTTTATTTCTATTTCTATTTCTGTAATCATGTTGCATGCTCATTTGAAAAGAATAAGAGCTAAGTTTCTTGTCATTTCTTCTTAACTCGACAGTAGTCTGAACTGACGGTAGATTTGACATATCATAAGAGTCTGTAATTTGTAGTTTGTTTGTGTTTTGTTTCTCTTATTTGACCGCCTCGGTGGTCTAGCGGTTTAGACCACCGCTTTATTCCCGATGGTCGCGGGTTTGATCCTCGCACGGCAGAATGTATTCAAGAATATGATTGTTTGTATTCGTTTGGGTGATTTCTATGTATATTATTTGTGTATTTACGAAAAAATATATAAAAAAACTTGATTATTCAAAGTGCTTATATTAAGTTTATTTGAATAAAGATTATTTATATTTCTATTTCTATTTCAACAATAGGCTTCAAAGATATATCTGAACTCTATTCATTACTCGTTCAGAGATGAAATATGTGGTTTAGCACACCGCTTTACGTCCGATGGTCGCGGGTTCTATTCCTCGCACGGCACAAACATTTGTATTCATGAGTATAATTGTTTGTATCGGTCTGGGTGTTTTCTCTTGTATAATATGTATGTAATTACGAAAAAAAAAAAATGATTTATGTATCTGTATCAGTTATCTAGTACCCATAACACAAGCTTTAGCTAGCTTAACTTGGGACTAGATGGCGCTGTGTTAATTGTCCTGAGATTATTATTATTATATTATATGGATCTAGACTGTAGATTCAATAATGGTCGGAATTTGATCACCAATAGAGAAGGTCGTAACGGTAGTCAAGTTTCGACACTGAATATTTGTGGTCTCACACATACATGCTAATTGCAGCGGAATTAAACAAAATAACACAAATCCATTAAGTATAATCCATTTTGTATTTTTGGAATTACGTGATTGATGACGAAATTCATGATTGTTTTATTCCCACCTCGTTTTTTTTAACGTAATTTGAAAGGTCAATAAGCTGACAACCCACCTGTGATAGAGACTGAGTTTTAACTTTTGACATCAGTATCTTTTTATAGTATATCAGCTATCTTACTAATAGTATGACGACCTCGGTGGTCTAGCGATCTAGCACGCCGCTTTACGACCGATGGTCGCGGGTTGAATCCTCGCACAGCACAAACATTTGTATTCATGAGTATGATTGTTTGTATCGGTCTGGGTCTTTACTATGTATAATATGTATGTGTTTACAAAAAAATCTATGTATTTGTATCAGTTGTCTAGTACCCGTAACACAAGCTTTATCTAGCTTAACTTAGAGAATACGTAGAATTAATCAAAATCCTTTCTTAGATGCCTACGTCATAACATCTACCTGTATGCCAAATTTCAGCCCGATCCGTCCAGTGGTTTGGACTGTGCGTTGATAGATCACTATGTCAGTCACCTTTGAGTTATATAT